TATATATATATATATATATATATATATATATATATATATATATATATATATATATATATATATATATATATATATATATATATATATATATATACATACATACATACATACATACATACACACACACACACACATACATACAAACAAACAAACAAACACACACACACACTCACGCACGCACGCACGCACGCACGCATGCATACATACACGGTTAATTTCGGTTATAGATCGGATCTTCATTTTTCGGGTCGTTTCGGTTTCGGTTCGGGTAATCGGTTCCGGTTCTGTTTTGCCAGCTCTACTCTTGTCATATAAAAGAGGAAAATTTCCCCAATCCTCTTCACCTTTTGCCATTTTTGGGCCGCACCTTCGCCGTCGTTTTCTACCGCCACTCTCGTTCAACCGCTGTTTGCCGTTGCAATTTACTCAGAAGGTTAGTTCATCCTTTCCCATCTTCATGGCCTTTTCTGAGTCTACTCCCACTATCCCCGTTGTTTACCCAGCGGAGGAATTTTGAGGAGATGTACCGGCAGAATCCCTCCCTCCGTCCCGACGATCCAGTGGGAGGATTCGGCCGCTCTCTAATTTTGGACGCAGTGCCTCTCCGTACGACGATCACCGTGGCATCCTCGTCCCGGGCGCCGCCTTCAAGGGGCAAAAAATTGAAGGCCGCTAAAAGAAAGACTCGCAAATCCCTACCCATCACCGCGCTAGAAACGGGTACAATAACAGATACGGGTTGCCTACTCTTAAATATTGACTTTGACGAGGCCCTTTGCTTCGTGGGGGAGGGGTATACCGTACGCTGACCGCACGCGACCAACCACGTATTTTCTGTGACCTGTCCCGGCGCCGAGGTTGGGGTGCACGTGTCGTCCATGGGCTCTTCGGTTTCCTCCTCATGAGCTGATAGTTCAATTTTTGAACTTCTACCGTCTTCTCCCTGGCCAGCTCAGCCTCCACTCCTAATATTGCTTCTCGAGTTTCCTGATCAAGTATCAAAAAATTGGATTATGGAATCTAAGTGTAGAGGAAGAAGGGGGAAGAGTGTGAAGATTGAATGAAGAAGAAGATGAATAGTGTTGTATTGTGTATTGAGCCTCCTTCCTTCCACCCCTCTTCCTAGTAGAGGGAAGAGGGAGAGTTAGGGTTAGGGTTTGAGCATATATACAAACCAATGGGCCGGCCCAACAGACTGGGCCGCCTCTAAAAAGTAATTAATACACGGTAAACGGGCTTGTCCAACACACTAGATCGCCCCGACAATATTATACAAAGACCGAATACCCCCTATCCAGGGTATCTAGCATGAGTCCCCCACTTCCCGAGCCGAGAGGAACTTGAGATGAAGTGGAAGTAGGACCATAATTCACCACGGAAGGACACCGTCTTCCTTGCCGTCTGGAGTGCACTGCCAACTTGCTGCCCGGAGCACAGTGAAGTAAGGCAAACAACGCAATCAGTCTGAAAATGTGATGCCAACTCGCTGTCCGGAGTAAGGCGAGGTGAAAGAATCTGCACCCTTGCATACGAGGTGCATTACCGACTCGCTGTCCGGAGCGACAAAGCAAAAGAAATTGCACCTGTTTGTTCATTGTCTTGAAATGATCTACTCTCGTACAAAGTACATCGTCATCTTCAAAGATCCTCCCACCCCCGTCAATGTGTGACCACTTCATGGGGGATGCCTCATTAAAAACTTGCCGAGGGAAAACCCCATGAGAATGGGAAAAAATCCTCGGTCAAGAAAAAAGAGTACATTTCGTCCCACAAGGTGAACCAAGAACAACATCGTAAGGGTGTGAGGTCTTCTGTGTGAACTTCTGAAGAGGTGATCTTCCAGTCCCCCGAACTCGTTGTCCGGAGTCAAGGGTTTTTCGACATAATGGATTGCCAACGAGTGCATGCCGACACAGAATGCTACGGTCTGATACAAGGTCGGGATGTCAATCGCCAAGCTCCCCTGACGTGATACGTAGTAATTACGAGCCGAGCACCCGGAGTCCCCCACTCCCTAAGCCGAGGAAGAATTCCGAGGTGAAGGGGAGTAGTGCCAATGCTCGGCACCGGCGGGAGTCTCTAGCTTCCTCACGAGATGGCCGAGGCCAAGTGGGAGTTGCTGAAGGCCGAGCTTGAGTTGATGAGGCCGAGCTTGAGTGGCTGAGGCCGAGCTTGAGTGGCCAAGCTTGAGTGCCCCACGAGATGGCTGAGTCCTAGCTTGAGTACTCCACGGGACGAGGGCGTGGGTGCCTCGTGAGGTGGCCGAGGCTAATCTTGGCCTTCTCATCCTTCTAACCTGCAAAATAATTTCAAAAAGAATACAAGAAGCTCGCGGGCTCGGGCGGACTGATCACCACGCGGCCGAGAAAAGTAAGTCAACATATGAGTTGAGTCCAAAGTCTCGGACAAAAGATAGACCTAATCAACGAAGTGCGCCGATCGTGTAGTAGTCTGGTCTAGAACAAACCTTGGCGTCATCTAGGGGTGGGCGTGAAATCCGTTCACGTTGGACCGTCTCAAAAAATCTCGGATCCGTTTTGTAATTGTACCGATATATTGGGACACATTTTTTTGTCTCGAACCCGTTCCGTCCCAATATCAAATGGGACATGAGCGGGACTGCTTAAATTTATACCGATCCGTCCCGTTTGTCCGTTTCATCTACTCTGCTAATATATAATACTAGTTCTAGTCCAAAATCCAAATACACTCATTCTTTAATTAATTAGTTATTTAATTAAATTAACTTCATGAGATTGAAATTTATTTGGACCCGTTCCACTCATTGTTTTTTGTTGGATGGCTAGATATTTCTTTTTTTTGAATGAAATGTCACCCTCTTCTCCTTCTTATATTTGCGATTAGGACAAAGTAGGACGACCCGAATCCGTCACGTTTTATTCCGATCCTGAATTTTATGGGACAAACCGGGATTAGATTGTAATCCGAACCGTTCCGGACCGTTTATATATAATGGGACAAGACGTGAGACAACCTAAAATCCGAACCGTCCCAATCCGTGCCCACCCCTAGCGTCATCCTTAGTGAGATCGGGGTCTTCAAATGAGAGCTACTTGGGTAAGTGAGATAGGCACAAAGGATGCACCCCTCGCCTTAGATCCGAGAGCAAATAGTTCACGTCGTGGAAGACGGATATATAGGAGTGCGTCGAGATGGACGGCTTACCTCGGCCTCGCGAATAATATCGTCGCGGACGATTTGGAGCGCCTCGCGGCCTCGCGGGGAGGGCTTACCTCGGCCTCGTAGAAGAGGAAAAAAGGATTGCATCGTGAGAGACAGATGAGAGTGCGTCGCGGTGGACGTCTTACCTTGACCTCATAGAAGAGGATAAAAGATCACGTCGTGGAAGACGGATGGGAGTGCGTCGCGGTGGACGTCTTACCTCGGCCTTGCGATATTATCATCGCGGACGATCTTCAACACCTCGTAGAGAGGTTTTACCCGATCTTGCTAAGGAATGAACAAATGAGCTGGATCTGAGCCGTGCCATGAGGCAGGTCACTGACCTGTGTGGCGTGTTAGATTAAGCTTCACACGCGTCCCACACCAATGCTTAAAGTGTTGAACACAAAGGGCCTGTTCTTTTGGACTTGAACTCTTAACTTCCAGTTTCTTCCAGTTTCTTCCAGTTCTTTCCAGTTTCTTCCAGTTCCTTCCAGTTTCTTCCAGTTCTTCCAGTTTTTTCTAGTTTCTTCCAGTTTTTTCCAGTTTCTTCCAGTTGCTTCCAGTTTCTTCCAATTTCTTCCAATTTTTCTTGTTTTTTCAGTTTCTTCCAACTATATTTATTTTCTTCAAATTCTTTCTACTTTCTGACAAATCACTCTAAAAAAACTATATTATTATTATTCTTACAATTTTTTAATTACAACTTTTATGTTGATAACTATAGTTTATAAATTATTTCATTTTGTCATCTCACTATTTTTATGATTCATATTCATTATTTTTTTCTTCAACTTTTTAATATGAATAATACCATTTTTTTGTATATTAATCTACAAGAAAAAATAGGAAACTATTTAAAAAATTATGGTTAAATAGTTATATACGGAGTAGAATATTTTTTTAATCTAAATTTATATAAGGTAAACATCAATATTTTAATCTAAAATATAGTACCTTCAATTAAGTTTAACTACATTGTAGAATATTAAGTGCTAGTTCATCTCTAATTATTTTTTTAAACTATCTTTTTATGTAAGAAAATAATATTCGTAATATTTTTTTTATTTTAAAAACAATCATTTAGATAACGTAATAACACCACCACTACCACTACCACCACCACCACCACTAACAACAACAACAACAACAATAATAATTATAGCAATAATGATAATTTATATCAACAAGAATCAGAATGAGAATAATTTAAAACCACACATAAAAATTTTTTAAACACTTTTTTTAGATTTTACAATTTTTCTAGTTTTTTCAGTTTCTTTTAATTTTTTCCTATTTTTCCAGTTTTTTCCAGTTTTTTCCAATTTCTTCTAGTTCCTTCCAGTTCCTTCCAATTTCTTCCAGTTTCTTCCGGTTCTTCCAGTTTCTTCCCGTTCCTTCCAGTTTCTTCCAGTTTTTTCCAGTTTCTTCCAGTTTCCAGCACTTTTTTTTCAGTCCTAAAGAACAGGCCCAAAGTGTAATACCATCGTCCAAGTGAGGTCCGATCACATGTAGTGGACAAGGTAATGTAGTGGACAAGGTAATGGTAATAATAATAGAGCGAGTATTATCAATGATGACATTGATAATATGCTAAAAATAATAAATACTGGATAATTAAAATAAAAGTGCTAGGAGTAAAGACACTTATCTTTTATATGGCTCAAAAGAGGACGTAGTAGCTGGAAACTTGAACGGAGCGGGGAGCGATTGCAGGAACAGCTGTCGTAGAACCAGAGTCGCTGAAGCTGTTGGATCACATCTAGGCGCGGTCGACGGTGGAAAGAGTTCCGTCCAGATCGGGTCGAAATTTGACCCAGGTCGCTTTGCTCACAGCCCGGATCGAAGGACGGAGATTCACCTCTGTGGCGTCTCTCACATCTTTGATCGAGTCTAAAGCGGAGTTGGAGAGTTTGATATCTCTCTCCCTGGCTGATGCTGAAATTTAGAAGGAATTTGGAAAATCCTCCACTTCGATCCAAGAAAAACACAAATGAAGAGAATTGAGTTTTTCTTCGGCGAGGACTGCCGATTTGATGCTTTATGAAGGAGTCCTCTGTAAAAAGGACAGCCTGCCATCCTCGGAAGAAGGGAGCACGCGCTGGGGTTCTTCGTGGCGTCTTCCCATCGGCGGCAGGGATTGAAGGTCTATCGCTGGTCGCCGGTCCTGCTGGTCGCCAGTCCTGGGCGGGGACTCGTGGATTGCACGTACAGCAACGCCCTTGACCGCCGTCAAACTCGGAGCCGACACCAAATCTGAAGCTGCTGCTGTTGACCCCCATTGGTCGTCGCGTACGGTCGTCGTCCGTGAATCGTTGCCGGCTAGAGCAAAAAGCAGATGCCGGTCGGTGGTCGTCAATTGGCCCCTGGGATGACGGATCTGTAGCAGATCTACGGCGTGGCTCTCCCGTCATGCTTCGAAGCCGGCGGTGGTCTTCCGTGTGCCAATGGAAGATCGAAACACTGAAGTTCTGCGGGAGTGGGACGGCGTCGCAGTCAGGCTGGCAGCCGGCGACAGTGAAGATGCGGAGACTCGTCTTCGCCCTTCGGTCTTCCGCGCGTTTCAGTTTGCCGGCTGGGATTGGACTGTGAATCCCCCATCAGCTAACGGATCCCAACTGTGGAGTTACAGGCTAGTGGCCACTCTCCTCTGTTTTTTTTGCCAATTGAGGAATTGGAAAAATAGTTTGGTTAAAAGTTTTGAGAGCATGCTTTATGCGTTCAATACTCTGAATGAGAGCACTATTGTTGGATTATGGAATCCAAAGGTAGAGGAAGAAGGGGAAGAGTGTGAAGATTGAATAAAGAAGAAGATAATAGTGTTAAGATAATAGTGTTGTGTTGTGTATTGAGCCTCCCTTCCACCCCTCTTTCCTCTTCCTAGAAGAGGGGTATAAATAGGGAGAGTTAGAGTTAGGGTTTGAGCATACATACAAACTAATGGACCGACCCAACAGACTAGGCCGCCCCTAAAAAGTAATTAATACACGGCAAACGGGCTTGTCCAACAGACTGGACCGCCCCGACTAATATTATACAAAGACCGGATACCTCCTGTCCAGGGTATCCATCAATTATATATTATGAAATATTTTTATTTAATTTTAGCTTAATATGAATTTTTAAATGTGACTCCATGATTCAAATGTGCTGGGTCGGCCTCTGATTATGATACCCGTGGATTAGTCAGTTAAGAAGTACTTAGAAGTTGTGTTTGGAGCATCAACAATGGCAAGTATAAAAATGGAATGCCACACGTTGATGTGGCACATTTTAACCAATAAAAAATAATCCAGTCAGCGTGTGGCAAGTGAGTGTAGTGGCATATGTTGCAATGGCAAGTAATTGATTTTATCAATTTTTATGATTTTTCTAATAAAAATACTTACTTCTTCTATTCAAATTAGATTACAATTTTAAAATTTGAAGTAAAATATCATATTTTTTAAAATCATTTTATTTTAAAACTGGTATAAGAATAAAAAATAGAATGTATGTATTTTAAAAAAAAACTATTTCAAAAGTTTTACTAAACATGATATGATAAAAATATTTTACTTTATTAAATAACCAATGAAAGCACACGGGTAAACAAAAATGATAGAGAGCTGAGCTAAATTTGTACGGAGTAATATCTAACAGGATAATTGGAGTATATTTTATTTTGAAAAAAATACAATAGCTTATTTCTCTCTTAAAAAATATTGGAAAAAAAAAGAAATGGGAAATGGGTGCCTCGCTAGTGCCATGGCAATCATGGAGGAATGCTACTGACATTCCACAATTTGGTGATGTAGCAGGCGTGGCTGAGGACATTCCTCGCCATTGCCATTGCTCTTAGGATTGTTAGCTGGGTAGCTGTTATAAATACTCTCTATCGAATAAATCAAGAAATAATATAATATTTTCTCCCTCAACTCTCTCTCATCTATCTCTCCCGTTCATTTCCGCCATTAATGGCCGTTTGGTCTTCTTTGAACCTCTCCTTCTTCTAACTTTGAGTAGCTTCCTTCAAGATTGTAACACATTATTTTTTTTCACAAGGAATAAATAAAAACTCCTTTTTTTGAAAGGAATAAATATTTACGGAGTTCTCTTGCAGATCTAATAGTGCATTTTACAGTGACCCTCAATAATACTCTGTGCGTAGTTGATGTCATTGGACAAATTTTGAGTTTGCATTATAATTAGATTTTGTTTGGTACATGAAATTGAAACTCTATAAAGTAGTGTTTGGGAACTAGATTTCATTTGAAATACTGTATTAGATTTCAATTCTAAGATTTGAAATTTCATAATTTGAAATTCCAAATGTTGTTTGGGAAGTCTTAAAATTTCAATTCTAGAATTTGAATTTTGAAGTCGGCAAAGACGATAACGAAAGCAAGTTGATATGTATGCGATTGTTATTATATAAGGGAAGATCAATTTTTTATTACAAATTTTAAATTAGAGAAAAGTTAAATTTGAATTTGTAAGTGACATGGTGAGGGGTGTGAATTTGTAGTTGAGTTAGCTTTGAATTATAAGAATTCAGTCCAAATCCAAATCAAAATTCGTTGTGTTCCCGAACAAGAAATGGTCCAGAATCATGTGTTGTCGGTGTTGAGGGAGACTTCCGTTTAAAAAACTTCTCCATTATCTAAAAACATAAAATGAAATATACTTTTTTACTAAATCTATGTCCAAAAATTAGAGAAAATTATTTAAATATTTCAATTGAGAATTAATATATTTTTAGAGACTAGAGTCATCAATTCATATGTTTTGGGACAATTATAAATTATAATTAATAATAATCAAGAATTC